TGGGTTTTGTCAAATGCTTTTTCGGCATCTATTGGTATGATCATACGATTTTTCTTCTTTAGCCTGTTCATGTGATGGATTTACATTAATTGATTTTTGAATGTTGAACTAGCCATGCATACCTGGAATAAATCCTACTTGGTCATGGTATATAATTTTTTATGCATTGTTGGACTTGATTTACTAATATTTTGTGAGGATTTTTGTGTCTATATTCATGAAAGATATTGGTCTGTAGTTTACCGTTCTTTTAACATCTTTGTGATTAGGTAATGCTGGCCTCATAGAATGAATTAGGAAGTGTTCCCTCTGCTTCTATTTTCTAGAAGCAAATTCACCCAGAGGTGCCTCAGAAGACAGGCCTGACAATCTGCTTCCAAATAGTCACAGCCTTGAAAACTCTGTAGAGCAGTACTTCTCATGGGGTTACCATGAGTTGCAATTGACTTGATGGCAACTAATAACAACAACAACATTCTTTTAATGTCCATGGGATCATTAGTGATAGCCTCTCTTTCATTTCTGATATAAACAATTTTTGTCTTCTCTTTTGCTTGGTTAACCTGGTAGAGATTTATCAATTTTATTGATCTTTTCAACAACCAGCTTTTGGCTTCACTGATTTTCTCCATTGTTTTTTGTGTTTCCAATTTCATTGGTTTCTGCTCTAATTTTTACTATTTCTTTTGTTCTTGCTTTAGGTTTATATTGCTCTTCTTTCTCTAGTTTCCTAAGGTGGAATCTTAGGTTATTGATTTTAGATATTTCTTCTTTTCTAATATATGCATTCAATGCTATTAATTTCCCTTTAGCACTCTACAAATTTTTTTTATTTCTTGTAAAAATACTTATAACACAACATTTGCCAATTCAACATTTTTCAGGTGTTCAATTATTGATATCAGCTACATTAATCATGTTGTACAACCATCACCCATAATCGTTACCAAATTTCCCATCACCATAAACAGAAACATACTGCTTCCCAAACAGTGGCCCTCTCTTTCCCCCTCCCTCCCACCTTGGTTTCTATACATTTGCCTACTCTTGTTATTTCATGTAAGTGAGATCATACAATATTTGTCCTTTTGCGATGGACTTATTTCATTCAGCATAATGTTCTCAAGGTTCATCATCCATGTTGTAGCACGTATCAGGACTTCATTTCTCTTTATGATTGAGTAGTATTCCATCGTATGTACCACATTTTGTTTATCCATTCATCCATGGATGAACATATAAGTTGTTTCTACCTTTCAGCTTTTATGAATAGTGCGGCAGTGAACGTTGGTGTACACTTGTCTGTTTGCATCACTGCTTTCAAGTCTTTTGGGTGTATACCTAGGAGTGAAATTGCTGGGTCATATGGTAGTTCTGTGTTTAACTTTTTGGGGAACTGCCAAACTGTTTTCTGCAGTGGCTATACCATTTTGCATTCTCACCAACAGTTGATAAGGGTTACTCCACAAATTTTGATAAATTGTGTTTTCATTTTCCTTCACTTCAAAATATGTTTTAATTTCTTTTGAGATGACTTTCTTGATTCATGTGTTATTTAGAAGTATATTGTTTAATCTCCAAATATTTTGGGATTTTCTAGTTATCTTTCTGTTATTGATTTCTAGTTTAATTCCATTGTGGTCTGAAAGCATACTTTGTACGATTTATATTCTGTTAAATTTGATAAAGTATGATTTATGTCCCAGAATGTGGTTTATCTTGGTGAAATGTTCCACGTGAACTTGAGAAGAATGTGTATTCTGCTATTGTTGGATGAAGTATTCTATAAATGCCAATTAAATCCAGTTGATGGATGGTGATGTTCAGTTCAACTATATCATTACTGATTTTCTGCCTACTGGATCTATCTGTTACTGAGAGAGGGTTGTTGAAGTCTCCAACTATAATAGTGTATTTGCCTATTTCTCCTTGCAGTTCCAGCAGTTGTGCCTCGTGTATTTTGACACTTTGTTGCTAGGTACATACATATTAAGGGTAGCTATATCTTCTTGGATGGAGCCCTGGTGGCATAGTGGTTAAGAGCTTGGCTGCTAACCAAAAGGTCAACAGTTCAAATTCACCAGCCACTCCTTGGAAACCCTATGGGGCAGTTCTGCTCTGTCCTATAGGGTCGCTATGAGTTGGAACCAACTCGACAGCACCTAACAACAACATATCTTCTTGGAGACTTGACCAACACCTTTATCATTCAGTAATATCCTTCTTTATACTTGATAATTTTCCTTGTTCTAAAGTCTGCTTTGTCTGAAATTAATATATATACTCCAGCTTTCTTTTAATTAACGTTAGCATGGTATATCTTTCTTCATCATTTTACTTCTTTTTTTTATTGTGCTTTAGGTGAAAGTTTACAGCGCAAGTTAATCTCTCACACAAGAATTTATACACATATTGTTTTGTGACATTAGTTGCAATCCCCACAATGTGACAGCACACTCTCCCTTTCCACCCCGGGTTCCCTGTGTCCATTTGATCAGTTCCTGTCCCTTCCTGCCTTCTCATCCTGCTTTTGGACGGGAGCTGCCCATTTGGTCTTGTATATCTGATTGAACTAAGAAGCACATTCCTCACGTGTATTATTTTTTGCTTTATAGTCCTGTCTAATCTTTGTCTGAAGAGTGGGCTTTGGGAATGGTTTCAGTTCTGGGTTAACACTGTGTCCAGGGGCCATGGCTTTAGGGGTTCCTCTGGTCTCAGTCAGACCATTAAGTCTGGTCTTTTTACGTGAATTTGAGTTCTGCTCCACATTTTTCTCCTGCTCTGTCAGGGACTCTCTGTTGTGTTCCTTGTCAGAGCAGTCATTGGTGGTAGCCAGGCACCATCTAGTTCTTCTGGTCTCAAGCTGGTGAAGTCTCTGATTCATGTGGTCCTTTAGTTGTTTGGGCTAGTATTTTCCTTGTGTCTTTGGTTTTCTTCATTCTCCTTTGCTCCAAGTGGGATGGGACCAATTAATTGAATTAGATGGCCACTTGCAAGCTTTTATGCCAATTGACCTAGATGTCCCTGAAACTATGGTCCCGTGGCTCCAGCCCTAGCTATTCTGCCCCTCAAGTGTTTGGATCTGTCCAGGAAATTTCTTAGCTTTTGCTCTGGTCCAGTTGTGCTGACTTCCCCTGTATTGTGTGTTGTCCTTCCCTTCACCAAAGTTGATCCTTGTCTACCATCTAGTTAGTGATTTCTCCTTCCCCTCCCTCTTCACCCCTGTAACCATCAAAGAATGCTTTTTTCTGTGTTTAAACCTTTTCTTGAATTCTTATAATAATGGTCTCGTAAATATTTGTCCTTTTGTGACTAATTTCACTCAGCATAATGCCCTCCAGATTCATCCATGTTGTGAGATGTTTTGCAGATTCATCATTGTTCTTTATTGTTGCATGGTATTTCATTGTGTGTATGTACCATACTTTATTTATCCATTCATCTGTTGATGGGCATTTAGGTTGTTTTCCATCTTTTTGCTATTGTGAATAGTGCTGCAATGAACATGGGTGTGTGTCTGTCTATTCATGTGATAGCTCTTATTTCTCTTGGATATATTCCTAGAAGTGGGATTGCTGGATCGTATGGTATTTCTATATCTAGCTTTTTAAGGAAGCACCAAATCATTTTCCAAAATGGTTGTACCATTTTCATCCTTTTACTTTTAACCTATTAGAGTCTATATTTAAAGTGAGTTTCTTGAAGACAGTATATAGTTGCATGTCATTTTTTTATGTACTCTATTTTTTAATTGGTATATTTAGAACATTCACATTTAAAGTGATTATTGATATTGTTGGTTTAATATCTACCATGTTTGTAACTGTTTTCTATTTGTTGTATTAGTTCTTTCTTTTTTTATCTTCCCCTTTTTCTGCCTTATCTTGTTTTAATCAAGCATTTTATGATTCTAATTCTCTCCTCTCTTACATATCAATTATAATTCTTTTAAAAAATATTTTTAGTGATTGCCCTAGAGTTTGCAATATGCATCTACAACTAATATAAGTCCACTTTCAAATAACACTATACCACTTCCTGGGTACTGCAGGTACCTTATAACACAGTATTCCCAAGTCCTGTCTCCCATTCCTTATAATATTGCTGTCATTTGTTTAACTTACCTATAAGCTGTAATCACCTAATACAGTGTTGCTCTTATTATTTTGATGAAGGATTTACTAGCTCAATTGAGAAATAAGAAAAAAGATTTTATTTTACCATCATTTATTCCTCCTCTGATGTTCTTCCTTTCTTTATGTAGATCGGAGCTTCTAACCTATATCCCATTCCTTTTCCCTGAAAAACTTCTTTTGATATTTCTTGAGGGGCAGGTCTGCTGGCAATTGACTCCCTAGTTTTTGTTTACCTGAGAAAGTCTTCATTTCCCTTTCAGTTTTAAGGATAATTTTCACTGGATATAGAATTTTAGGTTGGTGAGTTTTTTCTTTCAACACTTTAAATATTTTACTCTGCTCTCTTTTTGTTGGCATGATTTCTGATGAGATGTCCAATGTAATTCTCATCCTTGTCCCTATACAGGTAAGGTTTTTTTTTTTTTTCCTTCTGACTTCTTTCAAGGTTTTTTCTTTGTCTTTGGTTTTCTGCAGTTTGTATATGATATGCCTAGGTGTAGATTTTTTGGTATTTGTCTGCTAGATGTTCTCTGAGCTTCCTAGATCTGTGGTTTGATGTCAGTTATTAATTTTGGAAAGTTCTTAGCCATTATTACTTAAAATATTTCTTCTGCTCATCTCTCTTTTTTCTCCTCCTGGTATTTCCATTACCCAGATTACACCTTTGTAATTGTCCCACAGTTCTTGGATATTCTGTTTCTTTTTTCTTTTTGTTTTGTTTTCTCCTTGCATTTCAGTTTGGGAAGTTTTTATTGAAATATCTTCAAGCTCACTGATTCTTTCCTTGGCCACGTCCAGTCTACTGATGAGCCCATCAAAGGCATTCTTCCTTTCTGTTACTGTTTACATTACCCATCTATTCTTCCATGTCATGTACTTTTTCCATTAGAATCCTTAACATGTTAATCATAGTTATTTTAAATTACTGGTTTAATACTTCAGAAATCTGCAATATCTGAGTCTCATTCTGATGCTTGCCTTTTCTCTTCAGACTGTGTTTTCTCTTGCCTTTCAGTATACCTCATAATTTTTTGTTGAAAGGTGGCCATGATGTATTCAGTCTCGCTATGAGGATTGAAGTAGATGGAACTTTAGTGTGAGGTTTTATGTTTATTTGGCCAAAAGCTGGGCAGTGTTTAATTCTTGTTGTAGCTGTAGGTGTCAGAGACTTCAGTATCCTCTAGTGTTCCTGTTGTTTCTTTTGTTGTGTTTGGAGTTCCCTAGAAAATCCTTACATAAATTCTGCATCTTGCACCTCTCTCAACTGTAATCCACTATTATACTGGAGACCTGTTGATGTCTATAATCTTATAATTAAATCTAAGTTTTATAAGTGGACCTGAGCCCCTGGGCCTTGACCTTCAGAAGTGTTTCTTAGCCGTCCCCCTCCCCCGCCTTTAGGTGAGACAAGAAGGGTAGAGGGGGACTGATATTGTCTAATTGCCTAGGTAGGATAAGGCTCTGGTAAAGTAGTTTCCCTTGAGGGCCTGTCTTTGTTATGGAGAATAGAATGCTCTGGCTTTGGGCATATTTCAAAATGGTTACTTTTTCCCTGGACTTATTTCAAAATGGTTACCTTTACCCTTCCCTGCCTGAAGCCCTAGGGAATTTTTCTCTGATTTTCACCATGAGACCCTGGGGAGCTCCTGGAGGTAAAACTCAGGAAAGTTTGCCCTCTCCCCCAACAAAAGGAAACCAAACCTGTTGCCGTGAAGTCAATCTGACTCATAGCGACCCTATAGGACAGACTAGAACTGCCCCACAGTTTCCAAGGAGCGCCTGGCGGATTCCAACTGCCGACCTTTTGGTTAGCAGCCATAGTTCTTAACCACTATGCCACCAGGGTTTCCCTCCCCCACACTAAAAAAAAATAAAAATAAAAATAAATAAAACAAACAACTGGGTCCCTAGAATTTTGAACTCTCAAGTTAGTCCACACTGAGTCTCTAGGAACTGGTCACATAATTAGGCAAGATAAGCACTGATATGTTGCCATCTCTAATTTTTCAGCTGTTGAGATATCTCAGGTTTATTTGGAAGGTGATATGAAATTGTTTTCATAAAGGGTAGTATAGCTTTACTATTTTACAAAATCATACTTTCATTTTTCAAAGAAAATAATTTTGTTTGATGATTCTTTAAAAAGAAAACTAACCATATACTTTTTTATAGGTACATGAAATCCCGCTTAACCTATTGTCAAATTAACGATATTATTAAAGAAATCAACAAGGCAGTAGCTAGTAAATATAAGATCTTACATCAGCCAAAAAAGCCTATGAGTTCTGTGGCCAGAAACCTCTATCACAGATTTATTGAAGAAGAAACAAAGGATACCAAAGGTAAAATGATAGCATATATATATGTACATGTCAACTGTTTGGCATATAACTTAATTATGAGAAACCAGAAAATTCTAATCTTGAGAGGTAGTTCTCAGTGGAAGCAGTTTTTGCCTACCAGGGACACTTGTCACTGTCTGGAGACATTTGTGTTGTTATAACTGGTATAGGGATGCTACTAGCATCTAATGGGTAGACGCCAGGAATGCTACTAAAATGTTATACAATGCATAGAACAGCCCCACACGAAAAGAAAAGAATTATCAGACACAATATGTCAGTAGTGCTGTGGCTGAGAAATACTGCTCTAGATTCTGTTGTGGAACTATACCCAATATTCTGTGAATTAGAATAGTAATAATGACAGTTGGTCACACTTATGTAGCACTTACTATGTGCCAGATAGAGCATTAGTCCTCATAATATCATTAAGAGGTAGGTACTATTGTAACTGCCATTTTGAAGACTAGGCAAAAAGAACTTAAGTAACTTGCCCAAAGTCAGCAAGTTGAGTGATAGAGCCACTCTGGATTTCATGTTCTTAACCACTGCACCATAATGCTTCTTGAAAAGTGTATTGTTCAAGACACACCAATAGGCAACTAGTGATATAATAAGCAGGACTACATTTCTGAAATGGTACAGTAAATATCGTGCAACGTCAGTTGATAGAGTAATTATTATTTTAGAAAGAATACCAGTTTTTGCTTTTGTTGAATAATGATAATGGCAATTAATGCCATTCATAGTCACAGTTTAATGCATTAAAGACTCATCTTGAAAGTTGGCCCTATAAAAATTAGCACTAATATCTATTTTTAGGTCTTTTTTTTATAGTGGAAGCAGACATAAAGGAGTTCACTGCTTTGAAAGTTGACAAGAGGTTTCACGTGATACTGAATATTTTACGACACTGCAAGAGGCTCTCAGAAGTTCGAGGGGGAGGACTGACGCGTTATGTTATAACCTGAGGCCCTGTGAGCTCTTGAACCAATCAACAGTAGGGTATAGAGGCTATCCCTGTAATTTCTTTATATATAATTTCATTAGCTTTTTCATTTTCTTGTTTCTTATAAAAATAAAACTTTTTATTTTGATAAAACATATATTTTAAAAATTTACTCCTTTTCAACAAATATTGAAGCTCCTACCATAGAACCCTCTGTGCTAGCCACATAATGGAACTAAAAATGTTTACATCTAGTTTTTGTGTTTAGTGGGCAATGCAGCAGACTCAGAACGAAGGGTACAGATGTAATCATGGAAGAAAAGCCTCATGTAGATAAGGTCAAGAATCCCCAGGCCCCTTATAAATAAAGATCATTAGTGTCTAAATTCCATCAATGGCGTTTCAGTCTACAGGAAAACTTCCTAAAAGTTGGATGTAGAGGCAAATTAGACATGTGATTATTCTGCTTTCCCATATGACATTAAGGAGCAGCTTATATGAAGTGCATTCAGTATAAATCAGTCTGTAAACTTCAACTTGTAATTAAATTGCAGTGCAAGTACATTGAAATGAAAAAAGATGATAAAATAACATGTGTAAGCAGGTTGATAGTGGTCATGAATAATGAGTGATTAGACTGTAGGAATTTGGCTATGTTTCTCTTCCACACCTGGGGAGATTATCTGATCTATCTTATGTCTGTGCCATCTGTTTGGCAGGCTTATCCCCGTAAGGGAGAACAAAAATGTCTCATCAGGCCCTGTGCCCTGGTTAACACCATCACTGTGATGACCACAGAGTACATTGCTCTTATCCTCTTTCTGCTTAATTTAAACGCAAGTACATTTAATTTTTCTTGTCTCACTTTAAATAAAAGTAATGGCATTATACTTTACTTTGTTTTAAGTCTTGCTTAATTTTTCTCTATCAATCATTTTATCCTATGAAAAAAGTTTTCTGTTTAACATATTTCTTCCTGAAACTTCTATTGAACAACTGTGTCAGTAAGTTGTTTTTATAGAATGGCTACTGAGGTGAACAGTTAGTCTCTATTTTACTCGTTAACACCTAACAGTCAGTGTAGTGCATTAATTTGGATAAAATCATTTTCCTCAAAGAATAATGAAGGCAACAACTTTCAAACAAGAATTAATCTCTGTTACTTAAACATCATTTTTAAGCAAAATGACAGATTTGTTCTACTTTAGTTTTTGAAAATAAAATTTTTTGAAATCTTACTTTGGAGAATTTCCTCAACTTGATGGAAAACATTTACCAAAAACCTACAGCAAACATCATATTTAAGGGTGAGAAACTAGATGCTTTACCCCTAAGATGGGGAGCAAGGTAAGGATTTCCCATCTCACCACTCCTATTCAACATCATACTGAAAGTCCTAGCTAATGCAATAAGACAAGAAAAAGAAATAAAAGGTATATAGATTGGGAAGGAAGAAAGAAAACTTTGTTTGCAGATGATATGATTATGCAGAAAATCCCAAAGACTCGACAAAAAACTAGAATGAATAAGCAGTTATAGCAAGGTTGCAGGATACAAGATTAATATACAAAATTGTGTGTGTGTGTGTGTGTGTATATATATATATCTCCACACCAGCAATGAACAATTAGAATTTCAAATTAAAAGCACAACACCATTTACATTAGCATCAATGCAGCACCTCCAAACTCTTAGGTAATTAAAATTTCCTTTCTTCTCATGGGTCAACGTGATAAATGTAGGCTGTCCTAAATTACAAAAGTTTGTTGGTGTAGTGACTGTGAGCTCTGCCTCATTTGCATACTAAAAATTGCAATTCTAATCCTTACTTACAACTCAGAAATCATATTATTTCTTGGAAATGCTCTCTTTCCCTTTAAAAAAAAAAATCAGTAACATGATGTGTCAAAAAGAACAGTTAAGCATCAGGAAACCTAGGTTCTAGTTCTAGCTCTGCCCTTTTCTCACTCCTGCTTCTACTTTCAAAATATAATCCAAATTTGACCCCTTTTCACCAGCTCCCTATCTACCACCCTGGCCCACATAGTAGCATGTCCCTTTTGGAAGCGATAGCTTCCAACTGGTCTGTTTTCATTCTTGCCCCAATGCCATCTGTTCTTCACATGAACAAAAGTTCGATTAGGTCACTGTGCTATCAGAAACCTGTTAGTTTCCCACTTCTCACAAAGGAAAAGCCACATCCTTACAAAGGCCCTCCATGGGTCGCTCCTCCACTTGGTGGTATTATCTCCAACTCTTCTATTTGCTTACTCGGCTCCAGCCACACTGGCCTCCATGCTGTTTCCGGAACAGGCCAAGTATGAGTCTCCCTCAGACCTTTGCACTTGCTGTTGCCTCTGCCCAGAAGCATCTCACTCTGTACCCATTTGACCCTCTCCCTTACCTCTATATCTCTGCTCAAATGTTGTTTCATTATTTAGGCCTTCTCAGACCTCCCAATATTTAAATTACAACTCCCTTCCACAACACTTCCCTTCCCTTTTCCCTGCCTCATGTTTCTTCATAGCACTTACATCTGTCTGATGGTTTACATATTTTACGTATTTGTTTTTGTCCCCCCACTAGAATTTAAACTATATAAGGGCAGGAGTTTTCGTATGTTCAGTGCTGTGTCCCCAGAAGCTCTACCAGCTCTTTACAGTAGAGGATGCTAAATAAAAATTAACTAAAACAGTTCGTGGTCGTGGGCAAGTGACTTCATCTTTTCATGCCTCAGTTTCCTCCTGTACATATTGCGATAGTTGAACTAAAAATTTTCTAAGAACCTTCTAGTTTTAATATCTATGACTCTAATATCCCAGTTACTTCTGAGAAATGCATTGATGTTGAAATTAAAGGATCTTCTGGATCATTAAAAATATTCTGTCGATAATTACATGAAAATTTCATATTTTAAGTAAGGAATCTGTAAAGTAGTAAGCTTCAAGAAAACTGAAATTCTAAGTTACTAGTTAAGTTTAAAAAAAAAAAGCTTTCATTGACTAAGGACCTTTTCAAAAAAATTTTTTCAGCCACTGTCTTTAGTTTTCTAATTTATTTTGCTTATTAGATATGGCTGAAAGATTCCACAGTTTATAAATAAATTACCCCAATCATAGGTGAAATTACTGCAATTCTTTGAATCTAAACTGTTTTATAGCATGCAATTTCATTTAATAATAAATTCTTTTGTGAAACATTCCATCTCTGAATAAACCCTTATTATTGTTCCATAAATATATCCAGTAATACAAGTGGCAAAAAAACAAAAGTTACTCAAGATATTAAAGAATCTTCCTGGGTATATTTCAAAGAATGCTTCTCAAACTGGAGCCGAGACTATACATATGATTAGAAAGTAAAAATATCAGCTGAACTGTGTTAAAAGTTAGACTGACTCAAGATACGTCTCTAAGGAACACACACAAAAATATGAGAAATTATGGCAAAGTATTCTATACTCTTAATATTAAATCATGTTTTTTAGTGAGCCCAAGTCCCGTAAAATATGGTTCTTAGCTTTTTTTCTTCCCCGCCTCCACTTACGTGAGACAAGAAGGCTAGAGGAGGCTCAAGTTGTCTAATTGCCCTTCCTTGAGGTCAGGTAAGGCTCCGATAAAGTAGTTTCTCTAGAGGGCGATCTTTCCCTTGAGGGTGGCCCAAAACAGAAAGCTCTCGACATTTTTCAAAATGGTTTATTTTCCCAGCCCCTGCCCAAAGAACAAGGGGATTTTTCTCTGAGGGAGTTATTCTCTGATCTTCACTGTGAGAACATGGTGAGCTCCTGGTAGTAAAACCCACAAAAATGTGGGGACACCTACCCTAAGTCTAGAAGTTCAAAAGAAAGGACAAAGTCCTTCCTCTGATACCTAAAGCTGGTAAGACTGGCTTTCTGCTGGAGTTCCAGGTGCACATACAGACTGGGGAATGTCTTCAGGGAAAAACCTAAGGGTGGATTTTAGCCAGTCTGATTCCCTTCTTTCAAGGGATATATTCCTTCCTGTTCTGCCTGCTTTTGGTCATTTTCCAGAGCCTTCGAATAGTTTTTTTATTTGTTTGTTTTTTAATAGAGTTTACAATTGTTATCTGTGAGAGAGTTAGTCCATTTGTAGCTACTCCTCCATTACCAGAACCAGAGGTAACCTAGGCAGCTATCTCTTGACCTTTTAGAATGTAGATATTACTCCTTGGATCACTTAGTTACTAGTTACCCAAAATACCATGTGCCTGCTCTGTGTTCTGTTGTTAGCTGCCGTGGGGTCAGTTTCGGCTCATAGCAACCCCATGTGACAGAATAGAACTGGCTCATAGGGTTTTCTAGGCTGTGATCTTTATAGGAGCGGATTGCCAGATCTTCCCCGGAGTCACTGGGTGGGTTCGAACAGCCAACCTTTTGGTTGGCAGCTGAGCGCTTAACTGTTGCACCACCAGGGCTCCTTAGGGTCCATTAATATTTTCCTGAGCCACAATTTTCTGTTTTGAACATTTATATTTAGGATGTTCTACAAGCAGAAAATATATATTTATGTTGTTGTTGGGTGCAGTTGAATCTACTCTGACTCATGGTAACCCCATGTGACTGAGTAGAACTGCCCCATAGGGTTATCCTAGGCTGTAATCTTTACAAGAACAGATCACCATCTTTCCCGTGGAGCCACCGGGTGGGTTTGAACCTCTAACTTTTCAGTTAGTGGCTGAGCACTTACTTGCGCCACCAAGGCTCCTATACACTGATACGGATACACACACACACACACTCACATACTTCATCATTCTGGCTTGTTTCCACAGTTTAGAAGAATATTGAGAGAACTGTTTCTGTTTATACTTTTATTCTCAAAGCTAACAATTGAGGTAAGTACCTCTGCCAGCTTTCTCTTCATCTCTGGTCCTTTGAGTTATCAGAAGCAGCTCTTGGTATTAAACTTAAATCAATGACTCACTTCTGGTAACCATTTCCAAGCTAGAGACCAGATAAATCATCCCAATCATTTGCTTCCCTGAATTGGAACACCCAAGCCTCCACTGTTCAGTGTGGGCAGGGGATGGAGGTGGGTGGTTCTCTTCTATTCTGAGGTCTAGATTCAGAGATGTGTATTCACAAACACCTATGCCATTTGTGTGAGTTGACTGTCTTGAGGGAGGAGGGAGAAGGGCATTGCTCTTTCTGTCTCCTTGACCTTCTCTGAGTAAGGAGAGACTCCAGACATCAGTCAAGTTTTGGAGCAGCCGAGCCATGTTAACCACCATATTTCCAGGTACTGGAGCCCAGATCATCCTTTCGAGATCAGTAAGCAGCAGGCTGGAAATTCATGTGTTGGATATGATTTGCTGCTTTGTGTATGCCACCAAGGTAGAGAGCCATCTCCTTGTTTTAAAAATATTTGTTTGCAACATTAAGAGATGGACCCCAAGGACCTTGATGGGGTATACCATCTAATTTTATAAGGAGTTAACTCTCCTGTTAGGTTGACAGAACCTCTTGAGAAGGCTATCATCTCCGACAGTGAGTTGTCTATCCCCTGCCATAAGGGACCAGGTGGATCATTTATGAGGATGGGAAGTAACTGTCCCTGTTATCTTAGCTGCAGATTCTCTTCCTATCTGATTGGACCTCCTAACTGAGCCATCTCTGAATAGTCTTTTCTATCTACCCTTTAGCTAATCCTGTATGTTTTCCTGAATCCAGCCCTATTTTCAGCCTCTCCTGGCTGCACATGGTCTGAGCCCTTCTCCTCCTAAGATAGGTACCCATGTGCACCTTTCAGCTGCTCTGGCTTCTGTGGAAGACCCTGGGGGAAACTTAAGCACAGTGATTCTCCATCTTTTTTCCCACATTGATACACAAGATGGATCTGTTTATCCATTTGACAAATAC